AGCATAAGCTTTCGTGGGCTACTGCTCTAATAAATTTGTTAGTCTCTAAGGTGCCACAAGTACTCCTGTTCTTTTTGCGGATACAGACTAACACGGCTGCTACGGTACTCTGAAACCTGTCAGTAAGTTCAATGGTGCTATATGGAAGTAAGTGGTTTCTGTTCCTCTGGGGAGGTTCAGATTTATATGCAAGTAACTCCGATGGGTACTTCAACACTTTCCCCAGCTGCCTGTTGTGTCTCTAATCTGTGCCAGCCATAAAGGGCTGCCCCTAGATGCCAACCTCTGCACAGGGGACTCAGGTTCTCTTCAGAGTTGGCTCTGCATTTCTCTTTCAGGTTTTGGGACTGCTGTCCCCAAGGTTCCTGTGAACTCCACAGGTCTTGGGGAGCTGTTCAGACACAGAGCCATCCTGGACACTCCACTGCACCCATGTCCCCTGGGGCCTAGGCCTGCCTATCCCAGCACCCTGGGGGTTTCCTTGGAGAGCAGCTGCCTTCAGGAACTCCTTTAGAGAAGCGTCCGTCTTCTGATTATCAGTCTGCCTCATGCCACCAGGCAGGATGGTGGAGGAGGGCTCTGACTCTGTGTCTACATTGTGAGCACATACCCAAGCTAGCTTCAATCTAGATCAAAGGGCAGCATGTCTATCGATGCCTATGTTGCAAGCACAGACCCCCAGTGGGGCTCTGCTGCCCTCACACCTGCACTGGCAGCATCCAGACCCGCTGGCAATGGCTGAGAGGCTCTGTGCTGCCCGGGACTGAGCACAGAAGGGCCGGGCTGGGTGCAGGGGGGCAGGGCATTGGGGGCCTGGACTTGCGCTGGGGGTCCAGGACACGTGGGGGGGAGGGCATTAGGGCACGTGGGGGGTTGGGGCAAGGGGGGATCAGTGGGGGAAGCATTAGGGCACTGGGGGGAGGGCATTAGGGCAAGGGGGGGGTTGGGGCAAGGGGGGATCAGTGGGGGAAGCATTAGGGCACTGGGGGGAGGGCATTAGGGCAAGGGGGGGGTTG